TTCATAGAAGATCTATATAGCAATAAAATTGACTTCCTATTCTACCAATTAAATCTATCTAAAATTTTATCCATCACACTATGACAAGAGAAATTTTATATAAATAGATAGACTTTTTGCTTATGTTGTAAATTAACTTTTTTGCAGATTTGTAAACTCTTTTGTGAATACGAATTTTAATATTAATAAAGAAATCAATTCAAAATTTATATCTTTCTGCCTTTTCATATCTTCATATAGTCTGACGTAATTCCTACACATTATTTATAATTGAGTTTATCATCTGAATTCTTTAATTAAAATTGTTCGTAATCTCATCTTTCAAGTCTTCATACTTGATAGATTTGTTTAAGTTCACAGCATAAATTTGGTAAAGTTAAGAGTTAAGCAGATCCTAACGTCTTAACCGCAGTAAGTCGCAGTGATAAATTTTGAATAGAGACTTGATAACGTGACTACTTTGAGTTGAAGAATTCTATAGTAACAGTGCTTAAAAGGTTTCGTATCTTATTCTATTTATGTAATAATGTATGTTAAAAAGAGATAAATAAACTATAGAAGTACCTTCTCTATAATTATTAATTACACTTATCCTGATAACACAGTGTGTCTATAATATAATAGTTAGCTATTTCACACATTTTTCTTGTAGTTGAAGGAAAAAGATCTTTTTTTACCATTAAATAGATTCTTCACATTTCATTATATGGTATATTAGCTTTAGTATTAAGACTACACTTTTTTAAAAAGAATTTAAATGAACCTTCCTTTTCTACTTCTAAACGAGAGTACCATTTTTTGAGATACACTTAAATATCAATTGATACATATCTTGGTAATTAAGAAAACTAAAAAAGAAATTTTCTTTTACAGTAATTTTGATCTTAATTACTCCTATAAAATCTTTTTCTTTTTTGATTTTTTCACTTGATTCCTATATGATTTCCTCTTTGTCTATATTCTTTTTCTTTTCTTTCATTTTGAAAATATTTTTAGATTTCACTTCTATTTTTTCATGATATTTTCACTTTAGAATTTCTTTCTTTATTTCGTACTTTCCTGTCATTTGTTTTTATATCTATTTAAGTAGATTAAAATGATAGACTCTTTCTATAATGAAACGTCAATTATAGTCAGAATTATTAAATCTAACTTAAATGTCAGGAGCAAATGCTCATCAGCAGATGATGAAAGCTTTTAGCAGATTTACTCGATTTTCGCAAATAATTGTAATCTATTATAGATCTAGTTCTGTCTCAACATCTATAAGACAAATCTGTTTTAATAGTTTCAGATTATCCTTCTAATGTAAAGTCATATAAATCATAAAAATATTTTGATTCAGATTGAAAATTTTAGCAAATTCATCTAACTCTTGTAATTAGGTCTCTATATTCTATGTAAGGATAAGAATATAATTCTATAAGAGAGCTAAAATAGGGAATCAGTCACTTATTATTTTAAGATTTTTCACTGGCTAAAAATATTTTTTAGAAGTATAGAATAGGTGTGGATAGAGAGGATCAATTCTTTTCTTATATTTATATTTGCTAAGAATAGATCACCCAAAAAGTTGAATTCTGTTTTCTCAGGTCACCTTTTGATAAAATGAGTATAAACTATTAAATACAGTTTTGAAGTTATTTTCTTGAATAGCTTTAATAGCTATTTTTCTTTTACCAATACCACTCGTATAAATTCATAAATATGTCTTTTTTTCTGTATAATAACTGTGAAAAGGAAAAGCTTTAATATAATCTATTTTAATGTTTCCACTTTGTCAGAGAAAATATATTTTACTTTATTTCACAATCATCTAAAAACTCCTTATCTGATATAAGAATATCAAAGAATACAAAAATATCAGAAAGTATTACTATTGCCTTTTGGCCATTAATAAGTGAGTTATAAAGATATAATATATAATGGTACTTTTCATTTATTTTTTCTGATATTCTTCATGATCAATGATCATAAATAGAATTTCTTAACGACTGGATGAGCATATTTAAGAATTACCATAAATTCTCCATCATTTTTTGCAATTATATTATTTCAAGTTTAGATGGCTGACTAATATATTTTACCAAAATAATAAATTACCTAGCCTTCTATTTTATCTTTTTCAGCCTTTAGGTAAAAGAGTAGAGCAGAAGTGTTAAAGAAGTCTGAAAGCTCTGAGTGTTTAATCATTTTTTTGAAAGGTATACTATATTTAAATTCAAGATATACTATTCTGAAAAAAAAGTTTAAATAAAAAATAATTATAGAATTTAAGAAATATCAAATAAAAGTGAATTTATTTGCTAATATTTTTTTAACGGAAATGTGTGTAGATAGATTTGTGATCATTAAGAAGTATACAAAATCTATTAAAAAAGACGTTAGCAAAATTCTTATAAACAGTATAAAAAACCTATTGTGTCAAAAAAAATGTATAATTTACATGTAGATAAATATTATTTGAAAATATATTATTATAAGAAGAAACTAAATGTCTTAGAAAAATCTGCTTCAGGAAAATCTACTCTAGAAAATTTTTAGCTTTCAGAAGCAGAAGTAAAATAGAAAATTAATTTTATTAGAATACTAGAATAGTTTCTTGAATAGTCTACTCTAGATGCCTTAGGTAACCTAGAAAAAATCAGACTTTTTTATCTTTTTTTTTATCTATACATAGATCTTAGTTATAGAAGATATATATATATACTATATATATACTATATATATATCATAAAAAAATTTTGATTTTTTCTAAAAACTTTATTTTTTACTGGCATTTAGAAAAGATAATACAGGAATAAGATAAAATAAAAAAAGAACACTTTCTCAGATATTAAGCTCTGCCTTAGAAGTGATTTAGTAAAAATTTCTAATTTTTTTCTAGAATAAAAAATTTTTATAAGGATGCTTAAAAATTAGCATACTCATTATTTCAACCAAGTTTAGATTATGATCTGATCTCAAAAGTACTTACAATATTCCATCAATATATCGGTAACAAATAAGTAATAGTTAGATTGAAAAATGTTACACTTTTGATAATCAAATAGATTAAGCTAAGATAATACATATTGTATCTCTAATTTTCTAACTAACTGACCACTAGACTGAAACTCGAGAGTATTAAAAAGATTTCAGAAATATAAAAATACAAAAAATATATGACATAAATGCATATATACAGTATATTGGATTCTAAAAATATTCTGAAAATATTCCTGTCACTAACCTATAACTATGAAAGGGTATTTCATCACTAAAATAGTATTATATAACTGATGTAGTAATTATAATCACTAGATATTGCACATATTTTTGCTTAATTTCAGCTAGTACTATTTCATAAATTCAGCTAGATCTTTGAACATAATAACTTGACATTTAAGCTGGCATATAAGTAGTCTGAAATTGGCAAACTAATAGAACTACTTTAATTTTATAATAGCATAATGTTAGCCAAAAATTAATTGCAGATCTATTCATCAGAAAGTTTTGGATAGGCGTTTGATGTGTCAACAAATACCATGTATTGTTCAATGCTAAAAAGTGTTAAGTAACAAACCCTTTATCAACTAATATCATTATAAAATGCATAAATCAATACAATTTAAATGTAAAATAATATATACAGTAAAACAAAAGTATTGAAAACGCATATAACTAGTTAAATAATACATATAATATTACTAATTAATTGGTTGAAAAATATGCTTAATTTTAATTGAAATTTATTTATAATTTATAGTATATAAACTATAGTTATTTAAATTTTGTCTTAAACTACAATGCCATTATATAAATTAATCATCATTTACAAAGTTATTAACAGGTATGTTGTAATTAAGCGTAGACAAAGGCAAATATGTTAGGGATCTGTCATTCTAAATTTAAAGATATTTTAAGTAATTAACTTTAAAATACTATCATATAAATTTAGTCCATATTTACTTACTATTTCTGTATCATTGAACGCATTAGTCTATATTTCTATAACTTTTGAATCAATTTTTGTAGAAAGATATTTTTCATTAAATATAGTTTCAATGACCGATTGAACCCAAATACTATTTGAAGCCATACGTTCTTTTTCGGCTGTAAAAATGAATTTAATGATTAATGTTATATATGTATTGACTTTTTCATCTTCAGAATTACTAGACTTGTATAGATCTTTGTATACTTTTTGAGTATTTTTGTTCTGTTTCCATTCTTTCATCTGTTGTTTTGTGTAATTATCTTTGAAAGGTTTAATTCAGTCTACACCAAATATTGACCACAAACTATCTTTAACACTTCTAACATAATACCCTCATTTTATATGGATTGCAGCAAAGAACTGATTAATTTATCAAATAAATTAGTACATATTTGTTAACCACTAATATAATATTATTTAAATTAATACCAACTACTTACAGTGGAATTTATCTTTTTATTCCATAAATCATCAAACGTTAAACCCTTTTCTTCAGATTTCTGAAGCATACTAACACATAATTCATTAGTATCTAATTTTTCTTTAATATGATCTTTCATTTGTTATTCATTTACTTGTTTGTACTCATAAAATAATTTATGAACTAACTTTTTAACTGCATCCTATAATGTAAGTAATTATAAGTCAATATAAATAATATAAAGAAACGGTACAAATAATTTATATTTACTTGATAAAACTCATCTGTATTTTTGATTTTGATTTTTCTTTTTTCTTTGCATTTTATCTTAATTACGGGATGTATTTTCTCATAATCCTTTAATATTGACAATATTTCTGATATTTGAGCACTCTGATCATTCAATATTTTTTCTAAATTTTTCTGTCTAGTTGTTATATAGTCAAGCTTTATCGCATTTTTTGACCGATTTTAACTAACTTCACTAATTCATACATAAAATTGCCTAATAATTTAGAATTAATTTAATAGTAAGTAAACGTGAGATAAATACTGAACTACTGATATAAATTTTGTATGACCTTTGACAGATTCTTTGGAATCTTGCATAACTTTAGGTGTTGTTTTGAATGTAGAATAAGGATGTATTACTATTGCGAGAAAGGGCATTGTTGATGCTTTTTTTGCTTAATGGAAATACATGATAAATATACTAAAAAAATATTAAAATAATAAAAAATAAATAATAAAAATGAAAACATAACTTGCTATCAGTTGAGTCATTAGCTGAGATGATGAACTTTTAGGCATTCGAGTCATTGATTGAGATGATAAACTTTTAGATACTCGAGTCGTTAGTTGAGATGATGAACTTTTAGACGCTTAAGCGAAGGTATCATTATTATTTGAAAATAAATCAATCTTCAGAATCTTTGTTTTCTTTTTTGGTTGTAAATTGTCAACTAATTCCTCATTAATATCAGTTGAATAACTTTCTTTCGATGTTATATTTAGTTTTAGGAAATTAGTACATCTGTTTAATTTTGATAACTAAATAAGGAATTTTTTCATAACACCTTTTTTGAAGTCTAAAGTGTAATTATGAGTTAGCAAACATAAAAAATAAATTTAAATAAACATGTCAATTTACAAATGATATATAATTACCCTTTAATTTGTGGTTGATCTTGTTTTTAGACATCTTAAATTGTTATAGTTAACAGGATCACTCATTGTCAAAGTAAATATTCTAGAGAGAAAAAAAAAAAGAAAGAAAACAAAAAAAAAGTTATTAATATTTCTCAACTCTTTTTATATTGATGATTTATATCTGTTGTTATGAACAACGTGATTAATTAATTTAATTTGATTTTTAAACGCTGTAATTCTTAAATTCATCATATTAATATTACAAGTAATACTATATGATATAAAATAATCATGTTGTTGATGCTTATTAAATATTGATTGATGCTTCTCAAACTTAAAATAATTATGCAAGATAAATAGTTTATTTAAACTTACCTATATACAGTCAACTCTTGATATAGTGAACTCTTGATATAACAAATTTTTTGAACAAATATAATAAAAATACTCTTGTTATAGTGAATTAGCTAATCAAATCTTTTAAAATCTTCACTATAGCCTTATAGTGAAGTTAAGGTCTAGGACATAGAGTTTGTTATAATAAGAGTTGACTATAATTTGTCAAAACAAAAATCTACATTTTATTCTATTTTAAATCAATCTTGAAAAAATGCCAAATTATGCATGTTTATTTTGTGAAAAAGAGTTCAGTCATCATTCTTCACTATGAAATCATATAAAAATTCATAACAATATAGTTGATAAAATTTTACAAGAAATTTCTGAAGAAATGGAGCAAGAGACAAATACTCGTAAATAACTAGTAGAGCTAAACGATGATGAATTAGTAGAAATAAAGTTGAACTATAATAAACAACTATGAGGAGAAGAGGAGAAAAAAGAGTTGAGTGACAGTGAACAACTATGAGGAGAGGAGGAGAAAGAGTTGAACTATAATGAACAACTAGAAAGAGAGAAGAAGAAAGAGTTGAACTATAATGAACAACTAGGAGAAGTAACGATTAAAGAGATAAAAGATCAATATGTTAAATAGTTTATTTATATTTCATTAATATCTATATATAAGAAGTGATCGATAATGATAAAATCAAATGTTTACTGCTTTACGTTAAACTGATTCAAACCTTTGAGTCTATTGATATTAGTAGTTTAACAACATATAAGCCAGAATTTTTAAGTGAAGAATTTGGAGACTTTATAAAATTGCTTACTAGGTGGAATTTATCAGATACATGCAGTAGTGATATATTCAAATTTGCATGCAAGATTTGCTGTAATGACGTAATTTTACTTTCGTCAGTAATACAAGGCTACCAGTTATTAGATTGAATAAATGTACTGCATATTTCCTTTAAGAAAGTTCTAATTATAATATACAATGAAAAAATATATTACCTTTATTATCGTTAAATCTTTGATGAAATAAAGGAATTGTTGAGCAATCAAAATATATTTCAGCATTGTGTTTTTGAATTTAAGGCATTATATCATGAAGGTCAAAGGATTTATCATAAATAGTATAATAGAGAGTGGTGGGAGAAGATACAAAATTTAATTCCCAAAGGAGCCAATGTTTTGTCAATCATCTTGTATTCTGATGTGACAACATGCGATCAATTGGATAAAACTAGCAAACATTTCATCTACTTTACATTAAAAAATATTCCTAGTTGGATTAGGAATAAACCTGATGCAAAAATTCTATTGGAATATCTTTCACAATTAAAGGCGAAAACCATTTCTCAAAAAAAATTAAAAACTTTCAACTGATAAAATGTACTCTTTATCAGTATGCTTTAGTTATATTGATATAACTATTGCTTAATTATAACATTAAGGGGTTTGATCTTCAAACAGACAATAATAAATTATGATGTTATCCATTCATTTCTGTGATGTTAGGAGATTTTCTGAAAAATGCTGCAGTAACTTTAACATATAATTCTATTAATTGTAACTGTCTATATTATCATTGTTTAGTAGAAGGTGAAAATTTGAATAATGTGAAGTTAACAGATGATCAAATTATTTTGAGAATACCAAAATTATGTTAAGTTTTATTAAACAAGGTCTTGCATGACAGTATTCTTTGCATGATATAGAAAATATCTTTTAAAAATATCTATGAGTATCGCATAATTGTTAAAGAAAGACATATAATTGTGATAATTTTCTAATAACATTTATTTATAGTTATTTAAATATTTACTCGTCAATAATACCTGACTGAATGCATCACCTTAATTTAGGATTATTTAATTATCAAGTGACCTACACAAAAGAAATGTTGAAAGAATTGTGTGGTCAAATAGTAGTTGATGAATTTGACAATTGTCTGGCCAAAATTCCAAGATTTCCTAGTCTTAAATTATTTAAAAATGAATTGGAAAATATTAAGCGATTTACTGCTGATAAATTTCAAAATATGATGAAAGTGTTTCTTTTTATCATTGAAGGTCTAATCATAAAATACCACAAAGAATCCATGAATGAAAATCAAGTCAAACAAGCTAATGAATCATTAGTTAACATATATTATTACTGGAATAAGATGTATTTGTATAGTTGACGAGAGTATTTTTTAGAATCAGAGCTGAAGACTTTCAAAGAATAATAATTACTAGTTTTTATATTTTATGTATATTACATTTAGCAATTAATGTTTATTTTGTTTATAGAATTTAATAATAAGATGGGTAACATGTTTTGTAAAGCTTTTAAAAGTGTATTCACCATTAGGACTTCGACTGCCAAAACTTTATAATTGGTATTATCATATCATCACAACAATTAAAGAGCATGAAGCAATTAATAGTTTTACAACTGATACATATGAATCATTACATAAGGATGCTATTGAAAAACCTTATAGAGCCAGTAATAAGTGTAATGTAATAGATCAAATGATTAAAACAGTTGGTGTTTATTTTACTCATTTTTAAAAAGTTATGTATGTATAAACATTAAAACACTATTATTGTTTTATAGTTTATCATAATTCAACTATTAAATACTTGCATAAGTATACAGCTTTTATTCAACGTCAATAAAAAACTTTAATGAATAGCTTGTTAGGTACTTTTTTTGAAAGACTTTTACACATTTTTTAATAATTATCAGTCTGTCAATATCTTGACCAATAAAGCTTTAAAGGCTCTAGAATATCTTCTACTAGCATTAAACGAGTATTTGATTTATGTGAAGGTTTAACTGACATGAAAAATACTATAATTAGATGGCATAGTTATACTAATATTGCTTCTAGTAGAGATTATATTAGAGTAAAAAGCAAGTATTATAATGAACTATCATTTAGTAATGTATCAATTAATATGAGTAACAAAGAAATAGAAGACTATAATACTGTTGAAGATACATGTTTTAGCAAGGTACAGTATTTTATTTAATAATACTAGTAATTTTATATTAGTTAATATTTGTCAATACTAATTAATAATAACATATTTTATGATATTTAGATCCTTATATTAATTAACATCGAAATCAAAAATTATTTGTCTTTTGACCTTAACCTTGTATAATAATACGATTTTTGTTACAAGAATAATTTAAGACGCTTATATAAATACAATTGCCCTTTATTGCAAATTACAAATATGTACAATGTTGTGCCTGTAAAATCATTCATAGAATTAGTGCAAATAATTCAACGTACTGAACAGCCAAATAAATATTTTGTAAATATTTACATTTTAATTTAATAATATTTTACAAAAATAAAGTCACTTAATTATTACAATCTTACAATCTATGTTATTGAAATATATGTTTGTATATAGCATTGCACAATGATATACAATGCATCAAATAACTGTTGGTGATGAAAAATGCATATGTTAATGGCATGTATTGTTAAACTCTTATTATATGATATTGAATAATATTATGTAACACATTGATTTACAGATTGGTATTGATCAACATGTATACTGATGTAAGTCAATGCCTCTAAAATTCCCTGATGTTACATTATCTGATACAATAATTTTTACACTATTTTAACATTTTGAAAGGTAACCAAATAGACCATATTCTTATTATAGAGCCAGTATCTAAATTAATACAGAAGGTAATTATCTTTAATATAAAAGCTAGCTTCCAAACAGACAGAGATAGATACAAATAGAAAGGTAATAAATTAATAATGAAAAAGCCATAGAGCATAACCAATACAAATTACATTAAAAAAAATTTATAATAATATAAATTTTAATAAAAATAGACATATTCAAGTTATTTGATTATAATTATATTTAGGTTATTTAATTATAATTCAGTTATTTATCCATAATTAAGTTATATAGTTATAAATAAGTTATGTAATAATAAATAAGTTATATAGTTATAAGTAGGTTATGTGATTATTAAATAACCTAATCTAAGCTGTTTAAGCATAAATAATATAATTATGTTATTTAGGTTTAAACAGTTTCTTTCCTATTTCATTTACAAATTATAATTTTATTCTTAAAACTGCAGTTGAATATCTTATTTCTTCTAGTTCAATAGATGCTTATTATGTCAACAATCACTTCCTTCTATATTTATATGAACTAAAACATGATATTCTGAAACTATTACAAGCAAAACAATTCACTATTAGTAAAAGAGAAAATAATGATTGTATATACAAATTTATTCAAAGACGTGTAGATAATTTTAAAAATACTCTTACAAAAATGGTAGACTCTTTCTTAGAAAGAAATCAAAAAACTATTGTATTAAACAGAGTCTTAATAAATCATAATATATTAAATCAATAATTAGCCTTAGATCCTGATATCATCAAATTTCATACTGCTAAACATTTCTAAACTATTGCTGACTCTACTAATAGAATTATCACAGACTTATATATTAATGATTTCTCCTAAAATTGGTTTATTTGAAAATACTAATAATGATCCTATTGATAAAATTCCTAATGATGTATATGACTCTCTTATGAATCTTCTCTCAATCAATGAATGGAACAATATTATTAAACATTTATCTGATTGGAAAGCCTCAGGCCTATCAAAATTACTAATAAACTATTAAAGAAGCTTAGCTCAAGATGCAAGAACTTTCTTTATATTATTTGTGCATGTTTAATTAATAATTTTACTTCAATATAATAGAATTTAGCTTTTATATATCCTATACTAAAGCTTAAACTATAGAATTACTAACTTAACAATATTAGACCAATCACATTACTTGAAACAGTCAGAAAAGCCTTTGTCAAATTATTGAATTAATAGTTACAAGATATATTTATTAAGAATAAAATTATTAAAGGACTTAACTTTGCTGGTTTATCATACTAATTGATACTAGAACCTCTACATATAGTTAATAATATTTTAGAATTTCACTATTTAAAAAGAAAAATGTCTGAGTACCAAAAATTAGACCTTTATATACTCTTTTAAGATATGTCAAAAGTATATGATCAAGTTAATATCTTTATGTTAAAAAAAGCTCTATATAGACTAAAAATTTTAGATCCCTTTATAACACTAATTTATTATCGTTAAAACTTCTATTTGATTATTTTATTATTATAAGTTTCTGAATTTTTTTGTAAAATCGATTTAATCAAGCGTATATTTTAGTATAGATTTATATTTAATATATTTAATTAATCATTTAATATACTTTTGTATTTACTATTAAATACAAGTATTTATTTATTATTAAAGGAACAAATTTTTATTATTTCATTATTAAGGTAATAGGGGATTAAGAGAATAATTCTTTTACATAGTTAAAATTCTATTTTATTTATATAAAATTAATATAGATCATTTTTATAAATCCTATAATTTCAGATTTTTAGATTTTGAAATTTCTATAATTTTCCTATTTTCTTTCTAATATTTCTATAATTTTCTAATTTTTCATTTCTATAAATTCTTTTTGAGTTTTCAGTAATTGATATTATTTTTCTTTAAGATTTTCTAATATTTCTATTATTTCTATTCTAATTAATATATTAATTCTATCATTTCTAAACTAAATATTCTGTAAATTTTATTATTTTTAATCTAAATATTCTATAAATTCTATTATTTCTAATTTAATTTATGATATTATATTTTTTTTTTATTTATCCTTATTTGGAAATTAATTGTTCTTTGGTAAATAATTTATTTATATTTATCAGTTAATAGTTTATGTTAAATATTTATCTATTATAATCTTTTATTTAATTAAATATTTCTATTTAAAAAGTTACGTAATAATAGTTTTTATGAATTTTTGATTCTATAATAGTATAAAGAATTAAAGAGATATATTTCAAATTTTAATATATAATAAATAATAAATAAAATTGAAAATAATTAATATAATAGCATAAAGTTTATTCTATAATTATAAAAAATATGTATTACAAAATAATCTTACATATTTTGCTTAAAATAAACAATAAATTTCTTTATTTTTTTGTGATAATACAGTAAAATATATATAGAATTACCTAAATATAAATAATAATTATTATAATGATTAAACTGAATATATAGATTAAAATATATTAAGCTTTTAATTTTAGTCAAAAATTTGATTTTTCTAGAAATTCTTCTATATATCTTATAATATTTTTTTTAAAATGCTTATATAATTTATCTTAATTATAAATATTTAGGTAATTAAATAAAATTTAAAATTTTTACACTGTAGAATAATATATTATGAGTTTTAGTATAGTGAACTTCAGTATAACAAATTTAAAAGTTTAACAGAAAAATTTTCAAAACTATAATTATTTTATTTTAGTTTAACAAATTTAACAGATTTTTTATATAAATTCAATTATCCAATATTTTTAAAATCTATTTATATTATTTATAATAAATTTTTATAATATTATAACAATAATATTTTTATTCTTTAGACTAATAAGAGTAATGATATATGATTATTAATATTAATATTTTAAAATAATTAAAACAAAAAAATATTATAATAATAATATATATTAATTATAATACACTTAAATTTTAATCTAACATATTATTAGCTAATTCTTGATAATAATATTATTAATAATTAAAGATTATTTATTAATAATAAATTTTAAAGTTAATATCTTTAATTTTATTAATAATCTTAATTATTTAGAAATGCTATTATATTATTTAAAATAGATATAAAAATTTTTGATTTAAAATTAAAAACTATTAAATTTGATGTATAATAATAAAATATCAAAATATTAATATATTCTAATAAAATAATCAAAAGAGAATTTAAATGAGTTGTTTAAAATTATTAAATATTAATAAACATTTCATTAAAAATTAATCATTTTAAAATTATTTGAAAAATATGATTAAATCATAAAAAAGCATTATGTAAAAAAAAAATAATCCAAATATTAAGAAATTGATCTTATTTAAGAATATGAAATATTTTTATAATCCATTTTTGATATATTAAAGCAATCTTCTCAATAGTTAAATTATAATACAATTTTTTAATTGCTAGCTATTATCTATATAAAAATAGAATTTCTAATTATTTTGATATTAAAAAATAATAAAAATTTAAGTTAATCAACTCTTAATTAGAGATTTAATATTAAATAGTCCCTATTATTTAAAAAAAAAGTAAAAGAATTTGCTAATATTTTTGAAATTGATAATTTAATATTTCTTTAAAATAGTTAATTAAATTTAAAAATAGAAATAAATTATATAATTATAAAAAGAGATAAATCAATATATGCTCCTATTTATAAAATTGCTAATATGTAATTTAATTATAAAAAATCTTATAATAATATAGTCTTAATGATATATAAAGATAAAATTGTATTATTTTAAAGATTAAAACAATTATTTATATATTATTTCTAAAAAGAAAATATTTTAAAGATCAAATAACTGCTATGTTTACTTATAGTTTAATTTAAAAAAAAACTTTCTATCTTTTTATTTATAAATATGAAAATTTAAATTCTTTAAAAGAAATTAAAAAAATTTACTTTTAATTTGATAATATAAAATATTAAAATATGAATGCAAAAAATATCATTTAGAAAGGTTTAATAATAAAATGATTATATAAAATAAAATATAAATATAATCTTACTTTTAGATAATACAAGCTTTTATAATTTCAAAAATATATATTTATTTTACAACCTTTAGATTAAATGATAATTTATAGTTTAAAGATAATTAATTAATTAAATTTATTTTTTTATTTTAATATAAATTAATTTTTAAATTTTTAATTAAAATATAAAAAAATATTTTATATAAATAGAATTAGAATTTACCAAGAAGTAACAAATAATAATAATAATTAAGATTCTAAAAAAATATTTTTGATACAATCAATTTTATTTCTGATATTTGAATTAAATAACAATTGAAACAATTAAAAATAATTAAAAAATACTAATATAATTAATCAAAATACAACTGATTGATAGTTAATAATTTAGAAAATTATAAATAGTTTAATTATTTAAATTTTTCTTTAAAATCATTTAAATGTAATAAATATATTACAATTAATCAAAATTTTC